CAGCCATGCCTCTCGATCATCTCCAGTGAGAGCTTCCTCCATTGACGCCGGCTCATGAGGTAAGTTGACGCCAAAGCAACAAATCTGCTCCATCTCCCCCTCAGCTCCCTTCTCCTCCTCATATTCCTCCTCTTGGACCAGCAATGCCTTGGGAACCCCAAGCCTTTCATACTTGAGGAAATCCCTTGGATGGGCAGCTCTCTTGGGCCTCTCCTTGGCTGCTCCTTCCTTGGCTCCACCACGGACAGCATCACGCTTCCCTTGGGTTGTGCGCCTTGATGGAAGCTTAGGGGATGGTGTAGGCTGCTGCACCTCCTCATCGGTGTCACCTCTCTCAGCTATAGGGGCCTCCCCTTGCTGTAGTACTTCTTCCACATCTACTGCCTCCCCTTCAGCACCTCCCAAGTCATGTGACACCTCTGTCAACTCTGAAGATGAGGACAACTTGATGGGAATGAGAAGTGGGTCGTTGGTTCCCACCTCTATTCCAAGCGGAATGGTGACCTTGCTCCTCCCCCGCTCCGACCACTCCTTGAACATGAGCCCCTCCATGAACTTGGCATCTCTGGTGGTGAAGATGGTGTTGGATTTTGGGTCCCACATGAGCCAGCCCTTGCTCCCCCGTGCAAGACCCAAATGAACAGCCCACACCGCCGCCGCTTGAAGCTTGTCACGCTTCTCCTTAGGGACATGCACGAGCCCCATGCACCCGAAGACACGAAGCATATCAACCAGGGGCTTCTTGCCACTCCACTTCTCCATAGGGACCCACTGCTGACCTCCCACATGAGTCAACACCCGGTTCTTGATGACGGTAGCATGACGAATAGCGAGGGGCCAGAACCGCAAGGGTAGACCCGAGTCCACCAATATCGTTCTCCCGCCCTCTATAATGGTCCGGTTCGCTCTCTCTGCCACGCCGTTGGACTGAGGGGTGTAGGCCGTGGTGAGCTGCTGCTTGATGCCATGCCGCTTCAACCAGCTCCGGAACTCCGCTCCCAAAAACTCCCCACCACGGTCGCTACGAATCGCCTTCACCCGCTTGCCGCTCTCTCGCTCCACCATGGGCAGCCACTCTTCAATGATGACCCTTGCAGCATCACTCTTCTTTGCAAGTGGAAAAGACCAGGTGAGCCTTGTATAATCATCCACCATAGTCATGGAATACAGGGCCCCACCATCTCCTTTCACCTTCATGGGCCCCACAAGATCCACGTGCACGAGCTCCACCGGGTCACTTGACTGCCCCACCGTCGAATGGAAGGGAAATCGTGAGAACTTGCTGGTCAAGCAAGTCTCACAAGAGCCCACCTCCTTGGGCTCCCCCTTTATCCTCAGCCCCTTGACTCTTTCCTCCTTAAACAGCTGATGTAACTGAGGTAGCGCCACGTGGCCAAAGCGACGGTGTGCGGTGAGCCAATCCGTCTCACCCGTATCAGGAGTTAAACTTGGTAGTGCACCCCCCCCATGCACAAGCAGCCCACCATCACTGCCATCACCACCTCCTCCACTGGTTACGTGGCTTGCATGCCCTTCTCTTACAGCTTCAGCAGCCAAGCGCGCAGCCGCCTCCTTCCATGGCAGCACCGGTATCTCCCACATGGACCGGTGCATGTCCTTGCCGCCTCGGAGGTCCCACAACAGGCGCCCATCCAGAGTTGCCTTGAACACCTTTGTGCCCATCATCTCCATCTTCATCCCTGCCTCACTCAATGCCTTGGTAGAGAGAAGGTTGGCACATAGTCCAGGGACAAGGAGAACACGCTTCAGCCCCACAAGCCTCCCATCCGCACCCATAAACATGGCTCTCCCCTCGCCACGCACGGGTACAACTTGGCCGGTGGCTGAAACAACGGTGGCTGCCTTTGATGGCCTGACTTCATCCAGAAGATCCTCTCGGTTGGTCATGGTCATGAAGGCTCCCGTGTCGATGACCCAATGGGAGGAACGGTGAAGAGAAACCTTGCTGGCTGGTACAACCATATCCTCGGAGCATGCCTCTCCTACATGGTAGAACATGCCGCCATGTCCGCCGGCACCTCCATCGCCCTCCTCACTGCCCATGCCTTCTCCCATAGCTCCATGAACACCCTTAGAGCCTTCAATTAATGGCTGACCAGGCCTCCAACCATCAGGTAGCTTGCGACACTTAAACCATGGGTGACCTTCCACATGGCAATACCAACACTTGCCGCCACACCGCTTGCCTCCCTTATTGCTACGCTTCCCTCCCGAATACTGCTCCCCTCCAGAGCCTTCCTTGGCCTTGCCTTTCTTGCTGCCACGTCCCTTGAAGCCTTTCATGCCATAGGCAGAGCCTCCACCTTCACCGGCAGTGGCGGTCAGCTCCTTCCTCCGAAACTCCTCTTGAAGGACTTGAGCACGAATCCACTCAAGGGACCACGAGTCCTTCATGCCATTGAGGTTGACCACCAAGGGGCCCCACGACTCCGGCAGCAGGGAGAGAGCCTTGTAGCACTTGATCTTTTCAGGGTAGTCCACACCAGCAGCAGAGAGCTTCACATAGAGGTCCCGGAGTTGATCGAACGCTCCTTGTACGGCATCACCCTCGTTGATCTTCACCGCATGGAGTTGTCGTTCGAGCACCACCACCATCGCTTCGCTGCTGGGGGCATGGACATCCTTCAATATTTTCCATGCCTTGGGACCACACTGGATATCCTTGATGAGATGCTTGATGTGGTGCAGCTGGTTGGATGAGAGGCATTGAGAGAGAAGGAAGAATCCATCCTTGGATCGGCGACCCCATTCCTTGGTCGCTCCTTCGCTCGCAGGCCTCTTCAATTCTCCATCCATCACTTCAAGCAGCCCATAATGGTTAAATAGGAGCTCCATCCTGAAGCTCCATGATGCCCAATCCTCCCCAGAGAACTTCTCTAGGTTGAATGCCTTCACATCATCCTTGGCAGGTGTTGAAACGGATGGTATTGGTGAAGATCCGCCTGCAACGCCTCTTCCTGCTTCCCCAGCGCCTCTCACGCCACCACTGCCACTAGGACCAGCTGGAGCAGAACCTTCAGCCTCCATGTTGACCCAGGAACAGAGAAGAACCGCTCTGATACCACTTGTTATAGTCTAGAGTCCACTTAGGGGTCGTAGATGCCCTTGAAACCACCTAAGCAGAATCTGACGACTTCAAACCGCCTCTGTTCAAAACGTCGTCACGATCAGCTCCGATAACAAACGAGACTGAAACTTGGACAGACGTTAGCATCAGGTGTCTGCTTTCCAACAGTATATAGCTTGCTTTCATCAGAGGTGTATGCGCTACGCAGTGAACAAAAACGTAAGCTCGGCTGAAAAACGAGTAGTTTCATTGATGCAAGGAAGAGGTTCGGTTCAACATTGCCTAGGGGACTCTTAAGGGGTTGGGACCATCCTGGGAACTCAGAGAAGGTTGAGTCCTAGGGGAGAAAGGCTAGAGAAGGATGGAAAACGTCCTAGCTAGGTCAGCAAAGCCAACCACACTTGGATGTTCAGAGCTGTACTCAAGGCTACCAATAGTGAGTCAAGCCAACCATGAGTCAGCTTGTCTTCCCACTTGCACCCTCTTGCAAGCTGCTTCCAGGAAGACCACACTTCTCAAAAGGAGGGTGGTAGAGTCCCACTTGACCACCTGTACTTCTTGTCTCATTCCCTGTCCCTGCACCATTGGCATGACAACAATGAAAGGGTGGCAAGGGAAATGCTGCCAACAGTGCACCATGACTACGGAACAGTAACTTTCGACAGCTGTCACGTGCTGCTCCGATGCTGGGTTGTTCTAAAACTCGGTGAACACCTGCAAAACAAGGCAAAGGACTGCCACACTAATTTTCAGACCAATCAAAGCTCGGTAGATGAGTCAGCAGCCGAAATGGTGAACTCGGGTGTTACCAAAAAAGAGTAACACACACTTCCGGGATGCCATAAATCTTGAAACTAAAAATGTTGCCATGCCTTGTAAACTGGTTCAATGATTCTGAAACTTTGAGGGTATGAAGAACACATGTTCAAGCACCACCCCACAAAATTCCAGAAGCTGAGCAGGCTTGTAGGCTGAATGGGAGTGCGATGACCGTGCCACTGTAGTACTTTGGCACAACAAGGGTCCTGAGGTGGGGCAGGCAGGGCAGAGGGGTTTGGGTGAGGATCCTGAGGTGGGGCAGGCAGGGCAGAGGGGTTTGGGTTTAGGGTCCTGAGGTGGGGCAGGCAGGGCAGAGGGGTTTGGGTGAGGATCCTGAGGTGGGGCAGGCAGGGCAGAGGGGTTTGGGTTTAGGATCCTGAGGTGGGGCAGGCAGGGCAGAGGGGTTTGGGTTTAGGGTCCTGAGGTGGGGCAGGCAGGGCAGAGGGGTTTGGGTGAGGATCCTGAGGTGGGGCAGGCAGGGCAGAGGGGTTGGGGTTTAGGATCCTGAGGTGGGGCAGGCAGGGCAGAGGGGTTTGGGTTTAGGATCCTGAGGTGGGGCAGGCAGGGCAGAGGGGTTTGGGTGAGGATCCTGAGGTGGGGCAGGCAGGGCAGAGGGGTTTGGGTTTAGGATCCTGAGGTGGGGCAGGCAGGGCAGATGGGTTTGGGTGAGGATCCTGAGGTGGGGCAGGCAGGGCAGATGGGTTTGGGTGAGGATCCTGAGGTGGGGCAGGCAGGGCAGAGGGGTTTGGGTTTAGGATCCTGAGGTGGGGCAGGCAGGGCAGAGGGGTTTGTGTTTAGGATCCTGAGGTGGGGCAGGCAGGGCAGAGGGGTTTGGGTGAGGATCCTGAGGTGGGGCAGGCAGGGCAGAGGGGTTTGGGTTTAGGATCCTGAGGTGGGGCAGGCAGGGCAGAGGGGCTGGGGGTTAGGGTCCAAGTAGTGGGGCAGGCAGGACAGAGGGGTTTGGGTGAGGATCCTGAGGTGGGGCAGGCAGGGCAGAGGGGTTTGGGTTTAGGGTCCTGAGGTGGGGCAGGCAGGGCAGAGGGGTTTGGGTGAGGATCCTGAGGTGGGGCAGGCAGGGCAGAGGGGTTTGGGTTTAGGATCCTGAGGTGGGGCAGGCAGGGCAGAGGGGTTTGGGTTTAGGATCCTGAGGTGGGGCAGGCAGGGCAGAGGGGTTTGGGTGAGGATCCTGAGGTGGGGCAGGCAGGGCAGAGGGGTTTGAGTGAGGATCCTGAGGTGGGGCAGGCAGGGCAGAGGGGTTTGAGTGAGGATCCTGAGGTGGGGCAGGCAGGGCAGAGGGGTTGGGGTTTAGGATCCTGAGGTGGGGCAGGCAGGGCAGAGGGGTTTGGGTGAGGATCCTGAGGTGGGGCAGGCAGGGCAGAGGGGTTTGGGTGAGGATCCTGAGGTGGGGCAGGCAGGGCAGAGGGGTTTGGGTTTAGGATCCTGAGGTGGGGCAGGCAGGGCAGAGGGGTTTGAGTGAGGATCCTGAGGTGGGGCAGGCAGGGCAGAGGGGTTTGGATGAGGATCCTGAGGTGGGGCAGGCAGGGCAGAAGAGTTTGGGTTTACGATCCTGAGGTGGGGCAGGCAGGGCAGAGGGGTTTGGGCAAGGAACCTGCGGTGGGGAATGCAGGGCAGACGGGTTTGTGACCATGACATGATGGGGCCAGGTTTAGGAAATAAAAGTGCTATCTGAAAAGACAAAGGGAATGAGCAACGCGACGAAACCAACGTAGTTGCAGCGGGATAGCTGATTGTCAAGACTCACTCGGTTTGTATTTTCGCCACAACCTCCACTTCCTCTTCGTGCTCAGCTTGATCTGCGATGCACGCAGTCCCTCCACCTTCACTCCAAACTTCTCGAGCACACCGCGCTTGACTTGAAATCCCCGTTCATTCTTCCATGCTGTCCACACACGTTTAAAGACGGCAACGACGTTCTGATCCTTCATTGTCTCTTTCAGCTGCATGTAAGAAATGATGTGGGTCTCACTGATGACGCCATACAGAACCTGTAGTCGCTGGTCAAATGATGGGTACCAGTCAACCGCATGGTCCGGCGCTTCCATGCACATCCGGTCCCGCGCCTCAACAAAATGAAGCTACAATGGACGGGATGGTAGGGCAAGAAGAAATCAGTGGCGAGGGGCAAGCATATCAAATGTGGGGCAGGCAGAGGGGGTTATAATTAACAACCATGACAATGTGGGGCTGGCAAGGGGGTTACGAATGAGCAAGAACAGACGTAGTGCAGGCAGAGGGGGTTTGGAACGATATGCTGGACAATGTGGGGCTAGCAAGGGGGGTTAACATGAGCATGAATAGCAAGATGCTAGCAGGGGGTTACGAATGAGCATGAAAGCAACGCAGAGTGCCCCTCACACTCACCCTCAGTTTCTCGAGAGTGGGCATTCCATGCCTGCGCCGAATGGGCTGGCCCTCTGTCGGGGTGCTCTCATCAGCTACCTCGGGACTGAGGCCCCCAGATGATGGGTCGCTCGCCAAAGGTGCCAGAGGAGGAACTTGGGAAGGGGGTCCGCGGTTTTTGACGCCATTGCAAGCTGGTTTTGCCTTGAGGGTTGCTAGTTCGCTGTTTGCTAGCTCAAGCTCTCGCGTGAGCTGCTCCACCGTCTTGGGGCGAGCCGGATTGAGACGACCAGATGCACCGGGCGTGCACATGCTCTCACCCCTCCCCTCGTTCGTGTGTGGATCCCTTTTCCAGGTGTAGTCGTCGCCCCTTTTGTCACGTTCATCGTACGGAGAGCCAGCCATAACTCCGCCACAATCACCCAATGTGTTTGCCCACATCCCACCTGCCACACCGTCGTTTGCTGCTGCGGCCGTTGGGTCAGCGTACCGTTTGGGCTTAAAGTCGTCTTTATCAAGATCCGGTGAATCCCGTGTCTCGAGACGCTTCGCAAGTGGGTCTTTTCCCTCCTTGTTATGACGCCATGACCCTGTAGGCAACGGGTCTGCTCCTTTCCCAGCATTTAGTGATGGCCCTCTGAGAGCAGCATAAGGGTCCTCACGATCGTCACGCCTCCTTCGGGTCTGGTCTTTACGATCAAGATATCCAGTAGGAGCAGCAGTTGCTTTCACTCCCATCTCCGCATAGAATTCAGGCTCGGGCTTCACTTTGGGGCTCACACGGACAACCTGGGAAACCACACGCCGGCGACCGTTGTTGCCATGCGATTTCCCACGACTGTCGCGCCCCTTACGGCCCTTGTCCCGACCCTTGTCACGGTTCCTCTTAGGAATGCCCTTCTTGGCCTTCCGATCACGCCCCTTTCTCTTGGGACGCACCTCATCCGCCTCCTCGCTTTCCGGCTCCAGATCTTGGTCCTCACTCTCCTCCTCCTCCTCCTCCTCGTCCCCATATTCGCTGCCAGATGAACTACCAGATTCCCCGTCGCTGGATCCCTCCTCGGAACCGGACGACGATCTGGGTGAAGCGTACCGTTTCCGTCCCTGGCGAGCCTTCCTCATTTTTCTGTCGTGACCGCCCGTGTCAACCACCTTGCGCCGCTTGTACGTGACTTCAGCCCCTCGTCCCTTACGCTCCCCATCACTGTCGCCCTTAGTGCTTACAGCCCCTCGTCCCTTACGCTCCCTATCACTGTCGCCCTTAGTGCTTACAGCCCCTCGTCCCTTACGCTCCCCATCACTGTCGCCCTTAGTGCTTACAGCCCCTCGTCCCTTACGCTCCCCATCACTGTCGCCCTTAGCGCCTACAGCCCCTCGTCCCTTACGCTCCCCATCACTGTCGCCCTTAGCGCCTACAGCCCCTCGTCCCTTGCGCTCCCCATCACTGTCGCCCTTATCGCCTACAGCCCCTCGTCCCTTACGCTCCCCATCACTGTCGCCCTTAGCGCCTACAGCCCCTCGTCCCTTACGCTCCCCATCACTGTCGCCCTTAGCGCCTACAGCCCCTCGTCCCTTGCGCTCCCCATCACTGTCGCCCTTAGCGCCTACAGCCCCTCGTCCCTTGCGCTCCCCATCACTGTCGCCCTTAGCGCCTACAGCCCCTCGTCCCTTACGCTCCCCATCACTGTCGCCCTTAGCGCCTACAGCCCCTCGTCCCTTGCGCTCCCCATCACTGTCGCCCTTATCGCCTACAGCCCCTCGTCCCTTACGCTCCCCATCACTGTCGCCCTTAGCGCCTACAGCCCCTCGTCCCTTACGCTCCCCATCACTGTCGCCCTTAGCGCCTACAGCCCCTCGTCCCTTGCGCTCCCCATCACTGTCGCCCTTAGCGCCTACAGCCCCTCGTCCCTTGCGCTCCCCATCACTGTCGCCCTTAGCGCCTACAGCCCCTCGTCCCTTACCCTCCCCGTCTTTGGCAGGCCCAGACTGTAGCACGTCGTCGCCACCGGCCAATGCCACCTTATCCTGACGATGGAAAGAACTGCCCCTCTCCACCGCACTCCTCCCCTTCCTGCGCTTTGCTCTCGGACGGCAGTGACCCTTCTCTTCTGACCCGGCTGTGAAAAGCATAAAAAGAGAAAAATGAGTAGTCACATGTGACGTAAGCGGGATACGCGGTAACAACCTATAGGCATCCCAGAAATTACGCAAGGAGCCATATAATTGCTGGTGGGATCCGGTGAACACGTACCTTTCTGGCCTATTTTGGGGTTGCATTCTTCCAACTTCTTGATACGCCGTTCCCTCCGTTTCGGGGGCGATGAAATAGCCTTGTTTGCGTATGACTCCACATCGCCGTCACGGCTGGAGTCGTTTTCAGATGAAGAATCGCCCCCTGACTTGCTGTCGTTGCAAGCTTTGGACGGATGTCTCCTACGATACTCGTTGACGACTTGGGCCGTTTTCTCTGGTGTGACTACCTCCATATATCTCTTCTCATCTGGCGATTTGGTAGAACTAGGCAACTCAAGAACCCCTACTTGCGCATTAAGGGTTTGAGCTTGAACTGTTGGATCTAGGTTCACACCCATGACGGGCGTGGTACGGAAGTTAGGAATTAGATAGTGACTTGACTCACCAGCGGATACTAGCATTAAATGTCAGTTGGTTGCTGAGGTCCGAGTACCAGACACGGTGGTGGAGCAGGTGTACGTGATCCAACCACCACGTATGAGCAGCACCAGGCTGATGAGGGTTTGAACATGCGGTTTAGAGAAGCACGATGGTCCTTCGAGATCCACCGCCTCTCCAGACCAGAGCACAGGTACATGGGCTGTTACTGTAGATGGGAAGAAGCTAGACGGTCACGGTCACAGGTAATGACGCTTTGGCCAGGTTTCCAGAAACTGCACTCGTGTTCGCGCCACTGACTGTATGGTCCGTTGGATACCTACGGCGCGCTGCTGATTGTTTTGCCGCTAAGTGCGAAAGGGACGGCCTATGATAAATAAACCAGCGGCAACGAGTGAGAGTTTGAACTGCCCGACTCCCTCGTGTTGCTGAATTACAGGCAACGCGACAGGTGCCGCACGTATATTATCACAATAGTCACGTACCATGCCCGATGAGCAGCTGCGACTACTCAGCGAACTACACGAGAGAGGGAAGGTGGGCTCGTGGTCGCACAACGTCGTGCAGCCACGTACAACAGGTCGACACAGCGTGATTGTGCAAGGGAACACCTGAAATCGCGGCGACGTGAGTCGCCGCACAGCGATTGCGATACGGTCGCAACGGCTCAGTGGTGTGATGAGCGCAGGTGTCGTAGGCGTGGGGTGTGAGGCGCATCCGAATTTCCAGCGCGTATAAACGCCTAGTCTCGCTATGCTACAGTATTGGCATGTACTACCCTGTTCGAAATTGGGTGTATAATCGTCATGGAAATCCGCTCAATTGGTTCATAGAGTCCAGTCCTGCCTTTATATTCCATGGGGACACACTGGTTTTTAACTGTAAGGAAATTCCCTTTTCCTTACTTCGCGTCCCTGCTCAACGCGTACATCACTGTAGCACCTCAGTCAGCACCGTTACCACTCGCGACCATCGCATCATTCATCATCCCGCCCTTTTCGCACATCGCATCCCGACCTCACGGCTCGGCTGGTAACCCGCGCTCCGGGCCTACGCTTCGACACTTTCCCAACCTCAGTCCCAGGCTCGTCGCGCGACAACCACAGTCCAGTACCGTTACCACTATTGTTTCGCTATATAATCCTTCGCTCATGCCTTCGCTCATTGTACTCTTGCTTCGATAGTGCAATTCTCGTTCGTTCACTCAATTACACACGTAACATTAACAAATAACCAACACAAATAAGTAGGATGCACACAGTGATGTCGTTAATCGATTAAAATCTCTGCTCTATGCACCGTAGCTTAAATTTTGAACAGCCAAGCAATCCTGTCAAATTCACCGTTACAGTTTACTATGGGTTGTGATTATCTTCATGTATAGACGTGTGATCTTCATTACTGAAGAATAGCATGAAGACACGTGGTAACATGCAGCTGAGACAGTTGTTGATCTCCCTGGCAAAACAGCACATGCAAGCCAGTTGCCTTTTGCAAAGCTAGTCACTGGGACAAGGTCAATGTACTATGGCTGAGTGCAATGACCAAGTCCACTTTCCATTATGTGCACCTCTCCGTAATCTGCACCTCTACAACCTCTGCAACTCTTTGTTCACTACCTCACCCAGTCCACTGCACCTCTCCATTCGCTAAACCTCTCCCTTCCCTGCACCTCTCCGTTCCCTGCACCTCTCCGTTCTCTGCCCCTCTCCTCCGTCCTCTGCACCTCTCCGTCCGCTGCACCTCTCCGTTCTTTGCACCTCTCCATTCTCTGCACCTCTCCGTTCTCTGCACCTCTCCGTTCTCTGCACCTCTCCGTCCTCTACACCTCTCGTTTCTCTGCACCTCTCCGTTCTCAGCACCTCTCCGTCCTCTACACCTCCTTGTTCTCTATCCAGTTGGTCCACAAGACCACATTCGCCGGACATTATTCATCTGCCATATCTCCTGCCCGTTTATCCATACTTTATCGACAAGTTCATCCCACTGACAGGCTGCCTAAGAAACCAAGGTGTATACAAGGAGGAGGTAGCGAGGCTTAACAAGAGAGTTGAATGCTGGGTCATCATCAATAACAAGGTGCGCCTCTCATACCGACATCACGTGCCGCAAGTGCCACACATGCCTCACATGCCTCACGTGCCTCACACGCCTCACATGAATACATGCCACCACGATACCTCACCCGATGCCACACATGCCACTCATGCCTCACGTGCCTCACATGCCTCACGTGCCTCAGATTTATCACGTGCCTCACATGCCACACGTGCCTCACGGGAGTCACCTGAGCTCCGCCTCCCATGCCTCGTATGCCTCACATGCATCACATGTCAGCACAATGCCCCACATGCCACTCATGCCTCACGTGCCTCGCATGCCTCACGTGCCTCACATGTCCCGTCGTGCATCATGTTCCTCACATGAGCTCTGCCTCTCATGCCTCGTATACCTCGTATGCCTCACATGCCGGCTCGATGCATCACATGCCTCAAACACCTCACACGCCATTCATGCCCCACGTGCTTCACATGCCTCCTCTTCCTCCTCCTCCACCTCTTCCTCCTACTCCTCCTCCACCTACTCCACTACATCCGCCTGCACCTTCTCATCCTCCTCATCCACCTCCTCCTCCTGGTTTCGAGGTTGGTTCAACGCATTTTCGAGGAAGAAGACAGACCACTTCTTCAGGTCGCGAAGGTACTGACGGCGCCACTTACTCGGTGTACCAACAAGCTTACACGCACCCAGGTTATGGAACTTGTTTTCAACAAGTGTGTGCATCACGCGCATCGTGAACACACCGCAGTCATTCTCATTAGTCTGCGACGGAATCTGTCAACACACATTCGCACATGCACGTGGCTGTCAAAAGGTGGGTCGTTGATTGAGAGCTGGCATTTAAGACAACGGGATCAGAGGTCACCTTGACGACGCGCAGAGGGATGCTCGCAGCCCAAGCATCTGCGTCCGAATCAAGGATCCAAGTTGAGACCCTCATAACCTCGTTTCTTAAGTACCTGAATGACGGAGCACAAATGGAAGATTAGAGATCGGGCTTCTACGATAGAATGCACACCCATGACGTCCTCTGACAGTACCTTCGCAAAGGCGCGTCCACGGATTCGTGGGATCCGTACGAATCCGCATGCCAGAGAACGCAGGTCATGGGTATGTTCTCATCTGGTTTGGGGATTATCTCAATGACGACCAAGCTCCAATGATACCTACAACAAGCGATGAGCGAGTATCTGTCAGAAATAGTCGTTGATCGAAATTATGACTGGAATTCAAGCGATTGACACCCACTCGCTGTTGATCGGGACGAGAATATAGTTGTAGTCGAATATCCCTAGCCCAAAAAGATGGGCGTTACCTGTGATAGTAGGAAAACAGGAATGGATGAACTATGAATGAAAGCAGTACAAATATGAAACCCTAACTGGGTTGTACCCCCTATGGGATACCCCACTACAGCCTACACAGCAGTATAAGCTATAGATATGTTCTGACACACCCCCATAGGCAAAGTGGGGGAGAACAAGGGGTCACAAGACCAGTCAAGCAAGACAAAGCAAAGCTCAGGGTGGATCACAAAGTCACCACACAGTCCGAGCACAAGAGTGAGGCCAAAGGCCAGTTCACAAGCAAGAGTACAGACATATATATAAAGCTAGACAAGCAAGAGCAGGTATATATATATATGTCACAGTACAAGTGAAGTCAAGAGGAGAGCAAGTGAGGCAAGACAGGCACAAGACCCAGCTGGGTGCAGAAGCGCTGATGGTCACAAGGCGCAAGTGCCTTGGTGAACACATCAGCAGTGTTGGCCTCAGAGGCCACGTACGCAAGTCGCAACTGACCACGCTGCTGCAGCTCACGAGCAAGGAAGTAGCGGAGAGCAATGTGCTTCGTTCTGTGCTCCAAGCGCTGCTCTCGACACAAGGCCAGCATAGCCTTGTTGTCTACGTACAGCACTGGAGGAGAACGAGGCGGCTCTCCAAGGTCAGTCAGCAGGTAGGTGAGCCAGCGAAGCTCCTGTGCAGCCATGGCCCCGGCGTAGATCTCAGCCTCACAACTGGAGCCGAGAACCGAAGACGAGCGAGTAGACCGCCACGAGACAGAGCCGGAACCAAGGCTGAAGGTGTAACCCTGTGACGACCGCTGCGTAGCCTGGTCGTCAGCCCAAGACGCGTCCGCGTGGCCGGTAAGGACCACTGGACTCCGCCCTCCAAGCACTAGCCCCATGCCTGACGTACTGCACAGGTAGCGCAATACCCTCTTCGCTGCAGCCATGTGCTCCGGTCTGTGTCTCCCAGGAGCAACATAGCGTGCAAGAATGCTCAGAGGGTATGCAAGGTCAGGTCGTGTGCAGGTCATCAGGTACATGAGGCAGCCAACAAGCTCCGCATACGGACCACTCGACTCTACGGACTCATCCGAAGGCAGAGCTGAGAGTGAGTGGCGAGTAGGCAGAGGAGTGGCCTGAGGCGAGGAGT